GAAAGAAAGTTCTGCGTCACCTCGATTAAACTGTTCTAGAAAAGTCAAAAAACATTTTGAATGTTTTCACCCCGATTAATGGCGAGCATTCTCTGATTTTTGCAGACGGGTACATTGTGGCTCTGTGAGTGCTTCCAATCCATAAAAGTCTTCCAAAGGCCAAGGTACTTTGCGACCTACATATATCATACTACAAGTTCCTGTAGGCCACTCCGCGGTAGTCAGGGGAGCTAAAACCTGCATTGTCTTCATGAAGGATGTCGCTTGCCAGGGCCGCAGTGTCCAGCACTTGTAAACTGCAGATTCGAAGAGGCAATGTATAGGTTGGTCACCAGCACAGAATAACGGCCGGTTACTCAACCTCCTGGAGTCGAGATTGAGGGAAGAATTTCTCAAGCGAGCAAGCTTTCAACTTTCAACGACTGTCTTTGCAGTACGTATAGCAAAGGAGCGTGTACACTTGAAAGTTGGATTTCAGAAGAGTTTCTGAAGCACAACTCGTCCATTATTCTGTAGAATTTGCCGTAGAACTCATTTCACTATTTTACAAGGAAAACTTCATTTGCTGATGCGTGCCACATTTTCGTAGGGTACAACTTCGTCAGCATATAATTTCTTTGAATAAGTGAGATCCTCGGAACTAACGGAATTTGCACTTCTCCCTTGAATGTGTTTTTAGGAATACAGAAGCGGGTCACTTTAGTCCGTCGCCTAATGTTCCTTCCAGATGCGAAATGCTTCGAGAATGCAAGCTCTAGTTGTGAAGAGTAGGTTTCGATCAGCCCTGCTGTAGGCTGCGTTTATACTTTGCGGCAGCGTAGCGCTTCCAGCGTACGCCAGCGGCAGTGCCGGGAAAGGATAGATATCGATCTAGCTTCACCAGCGTCACCAGCGGCACGCTGGCGTAGCGAGGGCACGGGAAGCATAGCTATCGATCTAGCTTCACCAGCGTTTCTCGAGCGTTTCTCCAGCGTTTCTCCAGCGGCACCAGCGTTTTGCTAGCGCTTGCAGCGGCAGGGAGTAGAGACTATGGGAGAGCTGGAGAGTACAAAACACATCGATTTCTCGTAGTGAAATGTGGCGCGTGTAGTGCACCACATCAGTGGGCACTACCGTACTCCCAACGATCAATACCTCATATTTACATGCAAGCGCATATTGCAGTTTCATTCTCCAGTTTCTCTATTTTGTATTGTCGCAAAGTATGAATGTGCCTGACTCTTAGCGGACAGCGAATCCATGCTGCAGCAGCTCTTACAATTTTTAGAAGACACTTTTTGAGAAGCTGTTTCCATGAATAAGATAATTCTGTTATGTGCAAATATTTAGGCTGGTGCAACGTTGCGGACACTGGCGAAGAATCTTCACGCACTGTCTCTAGCACGAGTAAGAAGAATTATCGTTTCTACTTCTCTTACACTCTTGAATATCCTATCTAGTCGCTCAAAAAACGCTGCCGTACGTTGGCATAAGCTGAGAGCGCTTTCGAAAAGTTGGACGCGGCCTCATATTTACATGCAAGCGCATATTGCAGTTTCATTCTCCAGTTTCTCTATTTTGTATTCGCAAAAGTATGTCATGTGCCCGATCTTAGCGGACAGCGAGAGGCGTTTTTCCTGTGTAAGAACGTGGTCGCTGGCAGTCAGCTATAATTTTTTTTTTCCAAGCTCAGTAAGATGTGGTGTACCCTTACACGCGCAGGTAGTTCCCAGATCGAGTCTATCCTGCTGCCTGCGTACTTCTAGCACATGACGCATTGTTTTTCTAACTATGAGTCTATCATCTGCCATATTTTCAGATTCGTCTGAGCCCTTCGGAATTGGCGTTGGCTGCGCAACACGAACTCGTAGGCAACGGTCCAAAAGCTCTCTTACCACATTGCTCGGCCCTTTCGTCGTCATCCAATAACTGCATTGGCGTTCTTGATGCTCCCACCCCTGTTGTAAGTTACGCGTCATGGTTCTTGCCCTGGTAATCTATGGCGAAATGACGTGATTCTTACAGATGCCAATCAAGTCGGAGATTCCACGCGGTCACTTACCACTGGAAAGCACTATGAGGGTGCCGTCTCGACAACAATGACAGGAAAGACGTGCATGAATTGGAATGATGCTCCTTCAAGGTACTCCACTTGCTACCATATTTTTTTTCTTTGACTCATGCGGGGGAGGGGGGAAGGGCGGAAGTAATTTTGCTGGTGATATATAGTTCAGATCGCGACAACTTTCCTGGACTTTTGAACTGAAATACGCGTTTCAGGGAATACAACGTCGCCAGGTATCCAGAGCTGCCCTACGCCAAAAATTACTGCAGGAACCCCGGAGGGAAGAAGACGAAGCCTTGGTACTATTCGTAACCACTCGTATTTTTGTTATTTCATTGTCCATTCTATTACTAACACTCGGTGCTGTTTGGCTTGAGTTTGGCGTTGCCAGTATTTTCTTTCATTAGTTCATGTCATGTGTTTATTAAAACTGTTTATTAAAAACTGTTATTGCGTATTACACTGTATTACACTTGATTATTAAAAAACCACTTAATAAAAAACTACTTTCTCCAGTACTTCCTCCAATAAAACCATTAAGAGACAGAGATTCAACAAGCACATGGATATGCAGCTTAACGATCTGCGAACTAACGCGCGTGAGTAAGGAACATTCCAGCATCTTACCGTGAAAAAAAATTATAAGTGATTGCAGGGACCCACGTTTACCACAGAAACGCTCTCGCTGTCCGCTAAGAGTCAGGCACATTCATACTTTGCGACAATACAAAATAGAGAAACTGGAGAATGAAACTGCAATATGCGCTTGCATGTAAATATGAGGCCGCGTTCAACTTTTCGAAAGCGCTCTCAGCTTATGCCAACGTACGGCAGCGTTTTGAGCGACTAGATAGGATATTCAAGAGTGTAAGAGAAGTAGAAACGATAATTCTTCTTACTCGTGCTAGAGACAGTGCGTGAAGATTCTTCGCCAGTGTCCGCAACGTTGCACCAGCCTAAATATTTGCACATAACAGAATTATCTTATTCATGGAAACAGCTTCTCAAAAAGTGTCTTCTAAAAATTGTAAGAGCTGCTGCAGCATGGATTCGCTGTCCGCTAAGAGTCAGGCACATTCATACTTTGCGACAATACAAAATAGAGAAACTGGAGAATGAAACTGCAATATGCGCTTGCATGTAAATATGAGGTATTGATCGTTGGGAGTACGGTAGTGCCCACTGATGTGGTGCACTACACGCGCCACATTTCACTACGAGAAATCGATGTGTTTTGTACTCTCCAGCTCTCCCATAGTCTCTACTCCCTGCCGCTGCAAGCGCTAGTGAAACGCTGGTGCCGCTGGAGAAACGCTGGAGAAACGCTCGAGAAACGCTGGTGAAGCTAGATCGATACCTATGCTTCCCGTGCCCTCGCCTACGCCAGCGTACGCTGGTGACGCTGGTGAAGCTAGATCGATATCTATCCTTTGCCCGGCACTGCCGCTGGCGTACGCTGGATAGGGGCAGCTAGCGTAGGCGGCTGGCGCTGCCGCAAAGTATAAACAGGCCTAGTTAGTCTACAGCGGGCCGCATCGGAGCGTTACAAAACTGACGCTATGGTTCTAATAGGCAACAAATGGACGCTGTTCGAGGTCTCAAGGGCTTACTAATCACATGGACGCGAACACCTGTCAACCCCTGTGAAAGCTACTGAACAGCATTCAGCAGAGCTTGTATAGGCCACCTTGTTTAAGGCAATTCCCACGATTGTGTCCTGTGGATAGTGGCATACGATAACAAACCCGTAGTCGCTAAAGGACTCTCAAGAGAAAAAAAAAAGCTCATTTAAAACATCAAAAAAGGGCGCTCTGACCCTCAGAATAGGGGATGGTGGCGGACGTTCTTTGGTATTCGTATCCAACTGCTCTTGTTTTATGCCCTATTGCAGGACTATATCCTGGTTCCTCCTGCCGCTCGTCCCCTCTGACTGCACTAGTCGTTTCTTCTTCGCTGGACATCCAATAATAATGCGTCTAAAAAAGGTAAACGAAACGGAAAGCAGGGGTTAAGAACTGAACAGCGGACTAGAAGTTGCCCTTAGGCGGACGAGCAGCTAGAGTGGTGTCGGAATTGCCACTTCTGACGGCCACAATACCTTCGCTACTTACTGTGAACCGCGAAAGCGGGATAGTCTTGGAGACTGGGTGAAACTTCTTCCACGTGGGGGGGGGGGGGGGGGGGGGGGGGGGGGGGGGGGGGGGGCGAGGAAGGACGCTTACGAATCGCATGGGCGCGGGGACTGTTCCAAGTTCTGTGAAACCCTTGTAAAGCTAATACAAAAAAGCAAAACTCTTGTAAATTTTTTCACAAGGGCAGGATGACATTTGCACCAGTCCACAGCCTCACCGGAGCTTACACAAGGTAACGAAGCTAAACACACCAGTGCACTAGCAAGATGCCCCACGAAGCCGAACAGCGTCCTAGACTGACTTCCTGATCCAGTCGATGATCGTGTATGAATTGAGAAGGCGCAAATCTGCATGGTGGCGACATCTCACTGACTCCCATCTAGCATGGGGACCTGTGGAATCCCGACAAAAGAAGCAACCGAGTGGGATCCCTTGATTTCACAGTCGAGTAGCGCCATGTGAAGATTCAGCCTACGGTGCCCATTGATGAGCCAGACAATGCTGTTTTATGAGCAGTGGTTTCTTTATGTTGATCATTGTGGCCATAACTACAGAGAGAAGTATCAATAATATTGCAGCAATTTTACATGGAAGAAGAATATGATTCATCAAAATTTTCTCGCTGATATGCTTTTTCTGCAGCACACTTTCATCATTTTTGTGCTTGTTCCCTCAGCGCACTGGTCAACTGCTTGTTCGCTGTCCGATAGCGGGCGGTAGGGTGATATGTACAGCTCGCTCGATGTGATTCAATGCGACCACCCTCATGAGGATCTTCTCGTAGCGGCACTGCTGACCCCAGGGCTTTTCTCTGGTCAGAAAATGAAAAAAACACATCCCAACATATAGTATGCATACTGGCACAACGGCGCTCAGAGCAGTCCTGTCATATCACGAAAATCATAATTTTGATAATCTTTGTAATCGCTTCATTATTCTAAACATTTTTATTACCTCTCGGAAATCATCATTTCCATTTGAAGGGCATGCATAAAAAACTGCTGATTTTTATTTGTCTGTGCGCCATTTCCCTTACCATCATACTTTTCTTCAAATCCAACAGAACTTCCAGCGAGGTTTGGACGGACGACTACATGCAATTGCACGAGCAGCAAATTCCGAATGTGGTATGTCTCGCAAAGTATCAAAACGACATTGCTTCACAAAGTATCATTTTTAGCTTACAGATAAACTGCTTTGCCCTATTGGAGAAGATTGATCCGCCGTTTCGAGCGCTTTTAATTGACTCCCTTTTCTTACAAAGCCTTAACGACAGCAGATGTGGAATAGGCGAGCAACGGATACGGCTTGCAGTTGATGTAGGACTTTCGAAATCAGTTCGTAAAGGGAAGTTCATGGAATACGACATTATACACTACGAGATCCCTTCCGAACAAGGATTACTTTAAATTTTACGACACTGAGACGAGAATTGTACCTCGGTAAGAAGCTCCTCAGCAGTGCTTTTTCAGTTCATGGGGCCAAATTGTAGCATTCGTAATCAAGCATACTTTCAGAGTTCCCTCTCATTGTCAGCGGAAACCTGTCCATTCCTCGTGACATCAAAAGGTTTCTCGAAGCTTGGAAGAGGTCGAAATTCATCGACTGCCTTGGATTAAACATGAAAGAACGACCAGCGAATCATACCTCCCTATAGAAAAAACTGTTCAGACGATGTCATCCTTGGCGAAATACCTGACATATTTCGACGCATATGCGTTTCTTAGCTGTGGAACACTATTAGTGAGTCGAAAACAAGCATGCCCGGTGCTCAGAGATTTCTCAGAACGGGACGTTGCTCAGTGTCAAAGTGGATGCGTTGGGGCAAGGTAACTAGCAAGGACATACTTCGCCAGTTGAAGCGCGAGTAGCCCTCCTTGACCGGAATTCTTAGCGGATGCACCCGCTCTTCTCTTTTTTTTACAAGATGGTATACAGGACCCATGAGGTGTATGTTGAGTCTCGCACCGCGTGCATTGAGTAGCTAGTTTGACTTGAAAGAAAACGAAGAGAGGAAAGTAAAGATGGAGAGAGAAAGAGGGAAGAGAGAGTTGGACAAGTCGCGGCGCTGTCACGTGAGTGCATTACGGTCCTGGTGCAATGTGCGTGTATGTAGTCCCGTTTGCAACGACTTTTTAGTAGCTGCGTTCACAGCTACGATACGATATGACAATATCCGTCTGTAGAGGGCTAGTTACCAGCCGCATCGTGTGCGGCAAAATAGGGGTAGCGGCCGGGTTAACTATGTTGCATTCCCATGTGAACCCACCCCACTCAACCTGTCAAGATGAGGCGTATCAACCAGGGTCAAGCATACGCCGCGGATTCCAGAGACGGGGAGGAGGTGCGCATTCGAGTCATGCCATCAAGAGGACTGGGGTAGTAAATGCAGAGCTCAGTACTTAATACAGCAGGGACGTAGCTTGCAGGATGCGTGATGCGTCCGGAAACGAAGTCGAGCACTTGGCGCATTCGGTGGAGGTGTTGATCAGCGCCTCTGTGCTGCAGTTCCTATTCACTACATGTGGAGGAGCTCTACGGAAGGCCTACCGAGCTTTCTAGATGGAAATGTGGGCTTTGTAGGGATGAGATCCTCATGCTGCAGCTGAAGCTGACTTTCAAATGGAAATCCGAGACGGGCATTTGGCTCTAATCAAAGGAGAGCAAGAGTCGTTAGGAAGAGAAAGGCTTCAACTTTCCAACGCTTCGCAAAGATCTGTCCTGCATCACGGCTTAACGAAGTTATGGCCTTTGAAGGTAAGAAATTCGCGTTTGCCAAAACTTCTCCGCCTTATTCTTGCAATTTTCCACGACGGGGGAATTTTCGATAGCTACCGGAAAGCTATTACACTCATTCTGAAAAGAGAGCATCTCCTGGCCTCCAATGCCGTGTAGATCACCGTTCTGCGTTATGTCCGAATGAAGTGATTTCCAATGAAAGGTGGAGAACTCGCGTTTGCCAAAACTTCTCTGTGTTATTTTCTGGCCAGAAACCGTCATGCAAGCTTTTTGGAAACCTGTGGTGTATTTCGTATAGAGCCTGGCCATACAACTTGAATCGTCCTCACCGCTCTGCGAAAGGTGGTTTCGTAATGAAGTTTGGACGTTATGAAGAATACTGGTTGGATGTAATGGGCCGATAGCGCTCCAACCTCAATACGCTATGCTGGTTCACTTGGA